CATAGTATAGAAATATCAAAATTAATCGAAAAAATCGCAGTTTTCAGTATAGAAAAAAGTATCACTTTCACTTTCTTGATTAAAATGTATCAAACTTGCTTTGTTTATATTTCCTAAACAATTAAAATACATTATATTACAATATCGAATTCTGCAATTAAGAAATTTTTATAAATATGTTCTTACTAGCAGAGGTAAAAACTGTCTTTTCCTTCTGGCAATCAGTTTCTGAGAATATAACATTAGTTTCAGCGTTAGTTTCAGTTTTAGAACTTCTTTCATCTGACAATAAAAATATAGATTTAAAATTTTTCTCATAATCATGATTATTAGTAGAGACTGGAGTTGCATTGATAATTTCACTTATATTATCGCAGGTTATGATTACATTAGTATTGCCTAGAATAAAACGAGATTACTATTTACATATGTTTACATTAAAATAATTGAAACTTATAAAAATACTTATAATTAATGTACATTCACCATAAGATATAGTTATGTCAATATGACTCTTAGAATTACATTGTTCCTTAGAATTATCAATCTTTTCATTCATACTTGAATCATCACAGGTATCGGTTTCGTTCATATTTCCTAAATAAATAAATTAAATTTCATGAGAATATTTATTGAATTTTGCAATTGAGAAGTTTTCATAAATAATAATGCTTACTAGTAGAGGTAAAAACTGTCATTTTCTTCTGGTAATCAGTTTCTGAGGACATAACACTAGTTTCAGTGTTTTTAGAATTTTTTTCATCTAACATTGAACATGCGGACTCAATATCTTTTCTATAATCATGACTTTTAGTAGAGATAGCAGTCTCATTATTAATTTCACTCATATTATTACAGCTTACTATTGCGCTAGTATTATCTAGAAATATAATAAGAGATTACTATTTATGTTAATGTTACAATAATTGTACCATAAAAATATTTATAATTAATGTGCATTTATCATTAGATATAGTTACGTCAATTGGATTCTCAGTATTACATTTCTTAGAGTTATCAGTCTTTTTATTTCTATTTGTATCATCACAGTTACCTGTTTCATTAATACTTCCTGAAAAAATAAATTACATTTCACACATTATAACATTTATTAAATTTCGCAATTCAGAAGTTGTAAATAAGTATGTGTGTGTATTTGTACTAGTAGAGGTAGTAGTAAAAATAATCATTTCCTTTTGACAATCGGTCTCCGAGAATTCCATATTAGTTTCAATGTTCTTATCACTTCTTTTATCTAATAATGTAGACTTATCAATGTTTTTCCCGTAATCATGACTTTTAGTAGAAATA